TGTGTTAAACCCAAAGATGCTAGCTATTGGGACAAGAACTCACTATTTGACAAAACATGTTAGGAAAACTGGAAAGTTTTTGTCTGTCAGAAATTAGGTATAGACCAACATCTCACACAGTATACCAAGAGAAGCTCCCAAAGGATACATGACTTAGACATAAAAGGTAACAGCATAAACAATTTAGAGAAGCAAGGAAGAAATTACCTTTCGGATTTATGGATGAGGAAGAGTTCCTGATCAAACAAGAGATAAAGAGGTTCAGAGAAGATAAAATAGATTACATAAAATTAAAAAGCTTTTGCACAAACAAAACCAATGCAGCTAAAATTAACAGGAAAGCAGAAACCTGGGGGCTTGGGGGGATTTTGAAGCACATTTCTCTGATAAAGGTCTCATTTCTAAGATCTATATGAAATTGAGTCAAATTTATAAGAATAAGAGCTATTCTTCAACTGGTGAAAGGTCAAAGGACACAATTAGACAGTATTCAAAGGAAGAAATCCAAATTACACATAGCCACATGAAAAATGGCAGCTAGGTGGCTGAGATAAAGTGCTAAGCTGGAGTTAGGAAGACTCATCTTCCCAAGTTCAAATCTGGCCTTAGACACTTACTAGATGTGTAACCCTGGGCAAGTCATTTAACCCTGTTTGTCTCAGTTTCCTCATCTGTAAAATGAGCTAGAGAAGGAAATGACAAACCACTCCAATATCTTTGTCAAGAAAACCCCAAGTGGAGTCACGAAGAATAGGACACCACTGAGAAACAACTGAACGACAACAAATGTGGAAAATGCTCCAGATCACTAATAAGTAGAGAAATTCAAATAAAAATAGATCTGAGGTACCAACTCACATGCATCAGATTGGCTAAGATGACAAGGAAAAAAAAAAAAGGAAAATGACATGCTAGAGGGAGTGTGGGGAAAACAGGTATACTAATGCACTATTGGTGGAACTGACTTGATCTGAGCATTCTAGAAAGCTATTTGGAACTGTTCCCCACCAAATTATTAAACTATACATACTCTTCAACCCAGTGATACCACTACTAGGCCTATACCCCAAAGAGATTTTTAAAAAGAGGAAAAGGGCCCATTTGTATAAAAGTATTCGTAGACTTCTTTTCATGGTGTCAAAGAATTGTAAACTGAAGGAGCATCCATCAGTTGGGGAATGGCTGACCAAGTTATGGTATACATATGTGATGGAATGTTTTTGTGCTATAAGAAATAATAAAGGGAATGGTTTTAGAAAAACCTGAGAAGACTTGTATGAACTGATAACAGAGTGAAGTGAGCAAAACCAGAACAATTTATAAAACAGCAACTTAGAAAGACTTAGGAACTCTGAGCAACACAATATAACCAATCACAGTTCCAGAGGACACATGTTGAAGCATGCAACCCACCTCCACAGAGAGAGGTAATGGACTCAGAGTGCAGAATGAAACATATTTGTTTGGGACATAGCTAATGCGTGGGTTTGTTTTGCTTAACTGTACATATTTGTAATGGATGTTTTTCTTTCTCAAATGAGTAGGGAAAGGAGAGGAAGGAGGGAAAGAATTTGGAATTTATGTTAAAATAAAATTGTACTAAAGCCAAAAAACTGTGAGGAATTGTGCCTCGCTGGAGGATTGTCATGGGCAGCACAAATGCCTGGGGAGCTGTACTCAGCTGAATCAATTCAGTGTCCTCCCTAATTATCCTTGTTGGATATCCTGACTCAGCTGCAAAGGAACAAGTAAACCTCCTTTTGTTAAGTGTCAGATCTTCTTATGAACACAAATACAAAGAACTTTTCACACAAATAAAGACATCTAAACAACTGGAGAGATACTAATTTCTCATGGGTAAGCTGAGCCAGTGCAATGAAAATGACAATACTACCTAAATTAATTTACTTATTTAGTGCCATACCAAACTACTAAGAATTACTTTAGAGAGCTGGAAAAAATCATAACAAAATTAATCTGAAAGAACATGGTCAAAAATGTCAAGGAAATCAATTTTTAAAAATGAGAAGGAAGGGAGCATGCTACTCCTAGATCTTAAAACATACTACAAAGCTGTAATCATCAAACAGTTTGGTACTGGATAAAAACACAGAGGTTGATCAGTGGAACAGGTCAGATAGATAATATTACAGAAGCAAATGAACACAGTAGTCTAGCATTTGATAAACCCAAAGATTCCAGTTATTATGGCAAGAGCTCACTATTTGATAAAGAGTGCTGGGAAAAGTAGAAAGTTTCTGTCTGACAGAAACCAGCTATAGCCCAGTATCTCACACAACATACCAATATCATCTCAAAAGGGATACATGACTTGGACATAAAGGATGACAGCAAAAATAAATTAGAGAAGCAAGGAAGAAATTATGTCAGAGCTATGGATGGAGAAGAGTTCATGACTGAAAAAAGAGATGAACTCAAAGAAGTAAAAAGAAAGGCAATTTTGATCAAGTAAAATTAAAAAAGATTGTGCACAAAAAATACCAATGTAACGAAAATTATAAGAGAATAAGTTAAATGGAGAAAACTATTTTCAATATTTCTTTGATAAATATTTCATTTGGAAGCTATATGGGGAAGTGATTCAAATTCATAAGAATTAGAGCCATTTCCTAATTTGGCAGTGTTCAGATGAAGAAATCTAAGCTATTTGTCATATGAAGCCATGCACTAAAATACTAATAATTATAGGAATGCAAATCAAAACAATTTTAAGGTTCTACCTCATACCCATTGATAAAGTTGACAAAAAAGGAAAATGACAAATGTTGGAGGGGTTTTGGGAAAACAAGTATATTAATGTGGACCTGCGAACTGGCCTAGACATTCTGGAAATTTCAAACTATGCCCCAAAAGCTATTAAATTGTACATACATTTTGATCCAATGATATCATTACTAGTTCTTTGACCCAAAGAAATCAAGGAAGAGAAAAAAGATTCATGTTTCCAAAAAGTTGTTTGTGATAATGGATAGCATTTTTATACAGTGTTTTAACTTTACGTGTCAGCTCATTGATCCTCACACTAACCTTGTGAGCTAAGTGCTATAATTTTATAACAGCTCTTTTTGCAGTGGCAAAGAACTAGAATGTGATGTGCTACTTTTCAAAATTTGTGAATGGTTAAATAAATTATAGAATATGAATGTGATGGAATATTTATGTGCCATAAGAAATAATGAAGGGGATAATTTCAGAGAAATCTGAGAAAACCTGTATGAACTGATGCAGAGAATGATTTATGCAATAATAAGAACACTGTAAAGACAAACAACTCTGAAAGAATTAGGAACTCTGATCAGTGCAATGACCAACATGACTTCGGAAGACTCATGATGAAACATGCTATCTACACCCCCTAACAGACAGGTGATGAACTCAAGAACACAGAGTGACATATATTCATTTGGACATGGCCAGTGTGGTCATTTTCTTTTTTTGCTTGACTGTACATTTTTGTAATTGGGATTTTTGTTTGTATCTTTGTTTTCTCAAAGGGGTCATGGGAGAGAAGGTGGGAAGGACAGTAGGCAAATCTCATTTGGAAAAAAAATAATTTAAAAATTTTTTAGAAATAAATACTACCTCTGATGCTTACTACCTTGGACAATTCACTTAACCTCCCCCTCAGATGAGCTCATCTGAAAAATGAGGTCGAACTACATGGACTCTGAAGTATAGCACTCTTGGGTACTTTGCATATTATCTCCTTATCAAATGAAATATTTGTAAAGAGCTTAGTACAGTGCCTGGCACCTAGTAGGTGCTTAATAAATGTCTGTCTTCCCTTTCCCCCTCCCATTACCTTACAATAGTATTAAAGCCTGAAATCTGCAAGATTTCCTTTGGCTTACTATCCTTATTTTCCTTTTATCAAGTAAGTGTCATCTGTCATCTCTATTAGGAAGAGCAAATTCAACATTTAATATTAGGGCTTCAGGCTCAAAAACAGCAGTACTTAGCAAACTTCTACTTTACTTTGGGAATCACGAAAGTCTACTTTTTTTTTAGTGGTGCTGGAATTCTCCCCACCTATCCCAGATCACATCCTCTTTTCATCAGAGCAGATGGTCTTTATGAGTTGTTGTGGCAGAAAGTTCATTCCTCTGAAGCCAACTGATGATGGACCTCCCTAAGCTGGTCCTCACACCACAGGCCAATGTTTAGAATCATCTTTCCAGGTGGGTAGACCTAGCAGAGTTTGTGCTATACTGGCCCTGTGGTAGGGTCTGAACCTATAGTATATGGAATTTCTGATGAGGACCTCCCTGTACCAATGCAGGTCTTATAGTCTTAGAGAGCTGCCTAAGGCACAAAGGTTAAATGACTTGCCCAGGGTCACTGAGCCATTATGTGTCAGAGGTGGGATGTGAACCCAGGTGTTCTTTGTTATAAAGCAGGCTCTCTTTCTACAGCATACTACACTGGCAAAGCCTCTGAAAACAAAGGGCTACCTCCATACCCTAAGACAGGGGTGGGGAACCTGGGACCTCAAGTCCACATGTAGCCTTCTAGGTCCTCAACTGAGGCCCTTTGACTGAATTCAAACTTCACAGAACAAATCCCAAAAAGATCCTTCTGTGAAGTTTGAATTCAGTCAAAGGGCCACACTTGAGGACCTAGAGGGCCACGGGTGGCCTCGAGGCCACAGGTTCTCCATCCCTGCCCTAAGACATCGAAATTTAGTGGAATGACAAAATCACACTTTTTTTAAATGGACAGGACAGTGACTTGGTTTTGCTTTTTTTTTAAATTATTATTATTTATTATTATAGATAAAAAGAACCAGCAATGTCTTTAGGAAATTGTAGTTGGAATAAGAAACTGAAGCTAAATTATTACTGCCTCTGTATAGAAACATTGTTAACATGAGATCCAACTAATAAAAATACTTTTTCCAAGCAAACAAAAGTGATTCAGAGGTTATAGAGGTCATTTGATGTTCATTCTTTGATTTTGGAGGAAACTTGTAATGTTGAAGATTAATTCTTGGCTGTATTTTCTATACTTTCTGGACCGTCCAATAATGATTTTCTTCTCCTTCTATGCAAGACTTTAACTCTCATTCTGTCATGGAAGATGGTCCCTTTGCAATCATAGCCAAACCAAATGGGAGGGTCCTCAATACTGTATTCACAATATTTAACTTGAGATGAAATTCGGAAATGTGCCACCCTACAACAGAAAGCGTCATTAGTTGATAACCACAGTTCTGACTGGGGAAAAATCTTCTAACTAGATCAAATTCCAAAGAATACATGGATGCTTCCTCAGAGTTTGTTAACCAGTCACCAGTGCTGACATCCCTTTTGTCTTGCCTAGGAATGTAATTTGCTATGATAAAGTCAGATGGCTAAGATACCAACCTTGCATTTGTAACTCTTCCACTCTCCTTCCCCATCCCCACTCCCTAGTGCAGGCATTAATACTTTGGAAGATGAAGATGGAATGACTTGGATTTGTAATTATATTGGATCAGTAACTGGGTCTGTAAAAATCCATAAAGACTGGTTTTGTAATCTAGAACCTTCACTCAGTTGTTTTTACTAGAGAGTGCAATGAGGGAATAGGTGTATTTGTTAAAGATAGTGGGACATTCCAGATATCCCTTGAATCCTCCCCTCTGGCTATTCAGAGAGAAAGAGACAAGAATATGAATGAATGGAAACACATTTATTAAATGAAGAGGAGGGGAGGAGAGGGGGGCAGGACAGGGCAGAGGGCAGCTTCCAAGAAGCCCAACACACTCAGGTCTCCTGAGTTTTTAAAGATGCTCTCTTCTAAATCTCTCAAAAAAGGTTTTCACACAGTCTCGTTTCTTTGACTCTTCTACCTCTTTCATTTGCTACTACACACTATCTCCCTGCCCTTTGTGGCCAAATGTTTAGACAAATTATGCATTATATCCTATTATATCCTTAACCCTCAACAATCCCACCACTACTAAAATTGCTCACTTGGCTCTCTAATTCCATTTAATTAACATTTATTAAGCATATGTTGTGTGCAAGGTATGACTTTTTTTTTCAGTCTTTATCCTACTTATCCTGAGCAGCATTTGTGGGTTCCTTTCTGGATACTTATTCCTCCTTTGGTTTCTGAGACATTACACTATCTTAATTATCCTCCTACCTCTTTATTCCTCTTTCTTTCACCCTCTTCCTGATCCCTTAAGAATGGTGTTCACCCAATCAGCTCTCCTCCATCCCTTCTCCATTATCTCTCTTGGCAATCCTCTGTGGCTTTAACAATCCCTTCTACTTAGTTGATCTAAAAATGTGTCTCTACCCCTGACCTCTCTTCTCAACTACCGTCCCATTGCTCTAACCCTCAGGGAATCTCTACCCAAGTTTACAAGAACAACATAAAATTCAGTATGTCCTAAACTGAGTTTATTATCTTTTTCTAGAAAACTTGCTTCTAGAAAATTTTTCGGTTGCATCATCATTCACCTTTTCTCTCATGTTCAAAATCATGGAGGTTCGATTTAACTTTTCCTTATCCCTCACCTATCAACATCCAATCAGTTACTAACTCTTGTATATTCTACCTCTGCAATATTTTTCACATCTGTCCCCAAATACAGGTCATTGTCACCTGCCTGAACAACTGGAATGTATTCCAAATAGTTTTTTTTCCCCTTTTACTCTCTCTCCAACTCACTATCAGACAAATAAATCTCTTCATATGACTTCACTAATCTGTTTCAAAACTCTTTTACCTAACAATCCAACCCTTCATCTCCAGCCAGGTGTAGAGGAAAGGCCCAGACTTAGGCCCAGAAAATCTAGATTAGAGTCCTAGCTTTGAAACATCCTAGGTGACCTTAGGCAGGCCATTTCAAAGTCTCTGCTTCCTCATCTATAAAATGAGGATAATAGTAGTTATACTATTGGGTTTGTGAGCCGTAAAGCAGTATTTGTGTGAATTATCGTTATTGCACACAACTCCCCTTCATATTCCATATTCTCATCCTCCATCCATGTTCTCATTATGACTTCTTTTAAGCATCAGTCACACTGGATCACTAAACATCCTCATTCTTTACTGTGTCTCTGCCCTCAGTGCTATTTCCTGGGCCTGGAGTGTTCTACTCTTACACCCATACTCCCACCCCCATATTAAATTCCTTTAAAACTCATCTCAACTCCATACCTTCTCCAGAAAGCTTTCTCTGACCCCTCTCTCCCATCAGAGATGACCTTATCTCCATCCGCCCATAGATATTATTTTATTTACACCTCTCTGAACTTAGTATTGTATTTCCTATTCTGGTTATTTGTGCATGTCACATCCCTCAACTAGATTGTAATCTCCAGGAGGGCACTAACAATATGTTCTCTAAATAAGGTACCTCTCCCCTGCCTAGCACTTGTACTCTATACAAAGTAGGTGCTTAGTAAGTGTTTTTTTGAATTGTATACAGAAGCAGGACTTCATTAGAAAGAAGTAAGCAATCTGATTTGTCCCAAATGATACAATGCATACCAAATATTCCTTCAGACTAGAACAGGGGTGTCAGCCTCAAGAAGAAAGGGATCCCTGTAAGCACATACTGGCTTAAAAAAATCACAAATAAATATTATCTATGTTGCACTGTATTTTTATTTGTTTTGTTAAACATTTCCCACTTTATCTGATTTGACCACACTAAGCAGTTTTGTGGCAGTTCAAGTTTGACACCTCTGGTCTAGGAAACCAGCATTAACTAATAAAGAAATAAAAATTATATGCTCTGGAAGAGCTGGAATCTGGCAATATGGGTAGTGTCAAAAACATGCCACGATGGTATTGCCTATTCAAACATCTTCTCCATAGCTAACTTAATGCTCTGTGCATGTTATCCATGTTTATACCATCTACAAACTGGATCACTGTTAGCAGGGTAAGGAGCCTGGTGTTGCCACATATTGGGAGTTAAGATTTTGGCAAATAGCCATGGGAGTACAATCTATATACTGATGCTAGAAAAAAATTAAAAGTACTGAAGACATTCATTTGTTGATTCTGCCGAACCATTTCATTGAAAAATATAATACACATAGTTGTCTAGCTCAATAAGAAGGCAACAGAAGCACTGTTAATTCACATCCCACTTACTTCACTGCATTTTGGCTCACATATTTCAGCTCATGTGAAGAGTACAAAAGTTCAAGGAGTGGTGTTAGTTAAAGCCATTGTTTAACTATATGAACTTATGGCTCTGAGCCATAAATTCCCTGTGGGCTGAGACTTGGCACAACAGGACTTTTTCTTTACAGAAATATTTTGTTCCAGATTTTAAAACCAAAAGTTCACAGTGGGGGATATGTTTTTTTCATGCCATAAAAATTAAAGTAGGTGTTTAAAATGCTTTCCTAAGTTTTTAACTATTTATGTAATTGTTGAATGTTCTTGAACTAAGCTCTTGAACCTTCCTGAACCACAAAGGGTTGCAATGATAAGGACTTTTGCTTTTATCTCTTTTAAAGACTTATTTTCTTCCCCTGACTTCTTTCTCTTTCATTCTATGTGATTGAGAATCCCATAATTTGCAAATTCCATTTTATGGGGCATTTTAACTTTGGGGCCTGTCTCAACATGTCACCAGAGTATAAGGGATCTCAGGCATGACAAATACTGTAGCGAGGTTCCTCAAATCTATTATCAATAATAGTCAATACTCATGTGTAAGGCACTGTGCAAAGTACTGGAGATACAAATAAGAAGAAGGACAGTCTCTGCCCTCAAGGAGCTTGTAATCTAATGGGGAAGATAATACACATAGATAATACACCTTAGCTAATAAGGGCATGTTGGTGTAGGCATGATGTTCCTGGGGTCTAAACCAAACAAAGCAGCTGGTGGGAAATAAAGAGTGGAAAATTCTGAGTCCTCTACAAAGGGAAGCTTTGGGAGTTGTTTTTTGCTCTGCACTCCAGTCTCCAATCAGAGGAGAAAGGCAATTGACGGTACTAAGGAGTTGTTGAGTTACCAAAGCTGAACCAGTCTCCATGGTGATGAGATTTCTGATGATAAGCTTATCCTGGGGGAAGCATAATGTTCAATGAGTCTAAACCAAGCAGAGTTTGTGCTCTATTTCTCTTATATTAAATCTGCCTATATTTCTTCTTCTTTCTCAGTCAAACTCCTAGAAAAAGCTGTCTACATTACAAAAAGTTGCTTTAATTTCCTCATCTCTCTTGCTCCTCAACCCTTAGCAGTCTGGCTTCTGACCTCCTCACTCACCTAGATCTATTTTCTCCAAAATTGCCAATGATATCTTAATTATGAAGTCTTATCTGTCTGACTGCTCCTCTTTTCTGGATCATCATTTGTAACTCCTAACTGCAGGTATCACCCAAAGCTCTATCTTGGGTCCTCTTCTCTCTCTACACTCAGTCTTTTAGTGAACTCACCAGCTCCCATAGGTTTACCATCTCTATGCATATAGTCTTAAATTTAGCATCTGTATTTCCACTCAGTTTCATTCAGCTTCCATTGGTCATTTCAAATAGGAAGTTTTCACCTATATGTCATCTCCTTAGAGTAAAGGGCTATCAGGCTGCTTAAGGAGGGGCAAACAGACCCAGGTTGGAAAAATGGAATAGATCAAAGCTCTCATGATGATTGGCAGTGAGATTTGGTCTGGGGGTAGCCACTGAACTTTCACATTGGGCAAGATGGAGAGATCCAATCTCAAACCAGTGATGAACTGTTAACTTGTACAAGAGAACAACTCTGAACATTACTATGCACAGTAGGTATTACATTAATCTATTTCAGTATTTCTCTATGCACTGGAGGTTTTGACACAGGGAACTTTAATATCTTACTTGGAAATCCTCCTGCAATACCGCATCTTCAAGACACAAAGCTGCTTGCAGCCTTCCAGAAGGTATTCAATGGCTTTGTCAGTAAGGTATACACATCCAGAGACATCCAAGAAGTGAAGATAATGGCATTTCTTGCTCAAAATCCTTATGGCCAAGTCATTCATCTGCACATACAACCAAAATAACTTAGCAATTATTCTAAGGAGCTACAATTCAACAAAATATAGTTATTACTGGGCCCGTGATATGGATGCATAAACTCCTGCGTATTAAAACTGTACTAAGACTTTTTAGATACCCAGCACAGTTTCATTTACACTGCTAGTCAAATCTTATCTTGCCAGACACAAATGTGTGACAAAGACACCAGATGGTTAATTTGTAACAAGAGTATTAATTCTGTAGCCCCCATTTTTTTTACAGGTGTTCAGGCATATTGTCATTTCTAAAAAGTTGAGCATCAGTAAACAAAAATGATTTTCTCAGGCAAACTAAGCACAAGATTCCCCATAACTTTTTTTAATCTAATTTAATTAGATAAAATTAAAATAAAATTTAATTAATAATTTAATCTACTCCTGCTTAAAACTCTACTATCCTATTTTGGCTCCATTCTGCTCCACAGAGCTTTTAACTTAGGTAGTTAAGTAAATGTAAAATGCTTTACATGCTATCTCATTTAACCATCACAACAACCCTGAGAAGTAGGTGATATTATTAAACCTATTTTACAGAGGAGGAAAGTGAGGCTGAGAAAGGTTAAGGGACCAGTCTGGGGTCAAACCGCTTAGTAAGAGTTTGTGGCATGATTTGAACTTGGGTCTTCCTGACTACAAGGCTAACACTCAAGCCACTGCACCACCTTACTGCTAGTTTGCTTTTTATAATCTTTTGTCCCAAACTTTAGAACTATTTTTGAAGTGCCTATAAAGTACTCTTACTACCCCAAATCCCATCAGCACTGAAGAGTTCATTAACTGAAAACATTGTCAAGAGCAACTTTTGATATACGGGCTTAGCTGATCCTTTCATTGGATATCTGTTCATTGCATTTCACAGGTTCACACTACTTGAGAAGGCATTGGGACATTCGCCTTATGGGTAGGGATGGGGCAGGGCAGGAATGACTTGCATTTTTAACCTTTTGTGTGCATTTCTGGGAAGGGGAAAGGAGACAGAAACACAGAAGAAGGAAACAGAAGTAGCTTTCCCCCCTGGAAACTCTACCGAGTGCCCTGACACCATAGGAATGCTCCCATCCTTCTTGGAGGAGGTATTTCAACTCTGCTTCTGGTGCCAAGAAGCCAGCTTTTTTGTTACATTCCTAGTCTCTTTTCTGAGCAGATTTTTTTGGCATAAATATGATTTGCTGTAGGGCCACGTAGATAACTGCCCCAAAGAAAATTTTTAAAATTTAACTGAGTATAAGGTCTTCTTTGAAATGGTTGGATGTTCTAAAAGCTATACGTCACATCATGCAGCTAAAGAGACTGCTTTGAATGTAATTTTTAACATAAAGCCAAAAAGTTCTAAAAAACACCCCAACCCCCTCTGTTTCAGAACTGTACATATTTAGCATTAGGAAAAACAGATGTCCTAACTGGCTAAGCACGTCTTGGTTTCCAGAACATGCTCCAGGACAAGTATATAGCCCTCCCATCAGTTACTTCCCCACCACTGGAACAGCTGGAGCTCCCAACAGCTCTTTCCACTCTACCTTATGAATGCCCTGGGACCTGACACCATTGCAAAGTGAGCTCCAGGACTGGCTTCTTTTTCAGGGGTCTTTTAATTGGGAAGGAGGAGAAGGATAATGAATAGATGGAAGAAGTCCATGACAGTGTAGGAAATGAGGTCGATTTTCATGTGTGTTGAGTGAAGGGGAGGTTTCATTCTCTACTCTCCCATCATATAACTCTGTACTGTGCTGTGCCCCCAAGGTAAAAAAAAAAAAGTGAATGGAGGTTGGTTATATTCTTCCTATATAATCTATAAAACTAGGTCCTGTTCTTATTATTTTATTGGGGATATGGATAGTATTATGTACTGTAGCTTGCCTTATCCACATTCTGTAAATGTCTGATAATGGATAAATGACTTAAACTTTTCTAATCCTCAGTTCCTTACTTGCAAAATAAGGATGATGGGCAGCTAGGTAGCACCATAGTGCACAGAGTGCTGGATCTGGAGTCAGGAAGACTCATCTTCCTTGATTCAAATCTGGTCTCAGGCACTTGCTAGCTGTATGATCCTGGGCAGGTCACTTAACCTTGTTTGCCTCAGTTTCCTTATGTGAAAAATGAACTGGAGAAGAAAATGGCAAACCACTCTAGTTTCTTTGCCAACAAAACCGCAAAAGTGGTCATGAAACGTTGGACACTACTCAAACAAATCAACAACATGAGGATAATAATGCTGACATTTCCTACCTCACAAGGTTGTTGGAAGGAAAGATCTTTAACACACCTTATGCAATTACATGTTAATTATTTTTATTCTTTTTATTATGTTATATATTAGACATCCCAATTGAGCTGGATATTCCAAAGACACTCCTTTTTCCTTTACAATTTTATTTAAAAGATGTTTTACAACACCAGCTGGCAGAATAGTAACTAGGATGAACAGACTTGGGCTGTTCAATGGAAACTGTCATGGAGAGAAGAGTACACTTTGTCCCTGGTCTTCTACCAGCCTATATGCCACATGATAAGACCTCACTTCCTTGCTCAGCCCCATATCTGACATCGTATCATCATAGTGCTGCTTGGGTACACCTTCCTGAGACCTGCCTCCCTACTCCTTCAAACCATTTTGGCCCTAGGTGAAAGAATTTTTAATTCTGGTTCTGGCATATAAAGCTTGTAACTGCAGAATGACTTTCTACTGTAAGTTAGAGTTGGTTTTCAATTCAGTGTTAACAATTATTATGTGCCTATTGTATGTGAAGCACTGTATTTCTTTACATGTTGATGAAGAGTTAGACACATAAACAATAATCTCTCCCTGTATATTGCCAGCTTCCCTACTGCCTACAAACACATCCATGTCTTCCCCATTCTCAATCACCAATAGCAAATGGCATTTCCAAACATGAATTTATCTAAATCTATGGTTGTTTTGGATAAATGAAACCTTTTTAAATGAATTTACATGTGCTAGAGGACCAAAATCAGCATATTAAATGTTGCCCTATACATGCAAATTTCTTAAGATTCAGATTTTGCTCTTTTTATTTGTTAATATAGCTAGAACACGATGCCAATAATCTCTTTCCAGTATTAAAAATATCCCTTTTAGTATATGAGATTATATAGAGCTTGAGTTTCTCTCTATTTTTAACAACCTCTGAACTCAAAGTATTTCCAAACAAGTCAGCTGGCAGGACCAAAGTTTACCTTGAAGAAAGTCAAGAGACTTCAAAGGTCAAATAACATGATTTTACTCCATAATTAATAAGTATTCCACCCTCTCATCTTTACACTTACCCACAGATCATTACTATACTTCTGAAGCAGAATTTGGGTGTGGGAAGGGTTGCAATCCCAACCTTTTCTTGAACAGAAACTATTTTTTCATCTCCTTGAAACCTTAGGAAGAGTTGTCTTGGGATAATGATAAAATAGTGATTGTGTGTGGGGTGTCTAGGGTGGGATAAGTGGCTGCAGAGTCATTGAAGGAGGAGGGTTAAAGTGGAGTATTCTCTTTGCCACTGAGAAGAGAGGGAGTAATAAGGTAATAGCCTTAACCAAGCCTGGGAGATTGAGAAGATGGTGGTATGCCCAAAATTAATAGGGAAGTTAGGGAGAAGGGAGGGCTTGAGGTAGGGAAAGAGTTTGGGCTCAGTTTTGGACATGCTGAGTTTAATATGTCTATATCCAGTTAGGTAGCACATTGGTAACCCAATAGCAATGGCTCAGTGGATAGAATGCCAGGCCTAGAGTCAGGAAAACTCATCTTTCTGAATTCAAATCTGGCCTCAGACACTTACTAGCTGGGTGACCCCAGGCAAGTCACTTAACCCTGTTTGCCTCTGTTTCCTCATCTGTAAAAACGAGCTGAAGAAGGAAATGGCAAACCACTCCACTATCTCTGCCAAGAAAACTCCAATTGGGGTCAGTGAGAGTTGGACATGACTGTAAAAGAGTGAACATATCCAGTTCAAGACATCCAACAGGCAGTTGGATATGTGAGACTAGAATGCGGAAGGGCTGGACAAGCAGGTCTGAGAATCATTTGCATAGAGGTGATCATTGAATCTATGGGTGCTAACAAGATCACCAAATGAAATGGTATATAGAGAGAAGAGAAGTGGGCATCGGAGAGCCTTGGAGGATACCTATAGTTAGTGGGCATAACTTGTGGATCCAGCAAAGGAAACTGAGGAGTCATCAGACAGGTAGAAGGAGAAGCAAGAGAGAACAGTGTCACAAAAAACTAAAGAGAAGAGACAGTACATCAAGGAAAAGAAGGTAATCAATAATGTCAACGTCTGTAGAGAAGTCAAGAGGAGGAAGACTGAGAAAAGGTCATTAGATTTGGCAATCAAGCTATCATTGGTAACTTTGGAGATAGGAATTTCAATTCAATGATGAGACCAAAAGTCAGACTGCAGAGAATTAAGGAGAAAGTGACAGGAAAGGAAGTGGAGGCGTCGCGTGTCAATGTCCTTCTCAAGGAGCTCAGCTACAAAAAAGGAGAAGAAATAAAGGACAACAGTTTGTGGGGATAGACAGATCACAGGAGAGTTTTTTTGAGAATGGGGAAGACATGGATGTGTTTGTAGGCAGCAGGGAAGCTGACAATATACAGGGAGGGATTGAAAATTAGTGAGAAAATGGGGGTGATGGAACAATCTGCTAGAAAAGATATGTGCAGGAATGATAAATCTTTCTCTGCTTCCTTCCATTAGCTTTGTCATCTGTAAAATAGGAACAATAATATTTGTACTATGCTATCTCATAGTTTTTGGAGGAAAGTACTTTGTAAAACTTTAAAGAGGGTTTATAAATATATTATTATAATTTACAGCTGTGAAGTAAATAAAATATCCTCTCAGACCTGATTACCAGAGCAGTGCTTCACATATCTTTTGTTTGTTCATTCATTCAACAAACATTAATTAGTACCTTTTTCATTCACTGTGCTAGGCTATTTATGTAAGGTTACACAATGTTTTCTATCTTCAAAGAACTATCTAGTAGAAACAGATAAGACGTGAACATAATTAAACAAAATATAGACTAGAATGTGATATGTATCGAAAAAGACTACAAAGTGTTTTATAAATAGCTGTGTCACATCCAAATCTTTTGGCCTCCAGGGAACAGAAATATGCAAAGAGAATACCCTAATTTTAACTTTTCCCAGCATCAGACAAGATTCTTTATCCCATTTCCTATCTTCACCTTTTTCACTGACCGGTCATGTTTACTTTGCACCTAAATTCTAAGGCCCACTGAGACCCAACTACTCTCCTAGCATGCTCTGCAGTAGGACTAATTGCCAGAGTATCCATATGGTAGGACAGGGGATGCTATAAGGAACTATGTTAGAGTAGTGGAGAAGAAAGTGAGTGATGTTGGTGCCCTATTTGTGTTCTGGAAACCATGACATGCCTAAATAATTAGAACACATCTGGTTTTACCTAATTTTAAACAGGCACAGTTCTGAGACACTGTGGAAGAGTTTTATTCTGAATGTTCATAGTTTACTTGTATAAGCCAGGCACCATCCTTGGTATGAAATACGATCTTTCACTTCTTTCCCTTGGTTCTCTACCTTTTTAAAAAGGCTTGTCCCTACTTCCTTTTGCACTATAATGTGGCTGTATAGATAACTGGGAGATACCAGCTCTATTCTGACCTTCATGAAGACTGAACTGATGAGGAGCAAGGATTCTTCAGATGTCAGTTACAATGGTCTAGAAGCAAATGGTTGTATAGGTGACCCAATACTTTGGAGAGTAGTAGGCCATTAGGCAGGGCAGCTCGGTGGTGCAGTGGATAGAGTGCTGGCCTGGAGACTAAGAAGTAAGAAGACTCTTCTTACTTCTATACTTACTACTACTTATTACTTACATTTACTAGCTGTGTGACTCTGGGCAAGTCACTTAACACTGTTTGTCTCAGTTTCCTCATCTGTAAAATGAGCTCCAGTATCTTTGCCAACAAAACCCCAAATGCGGTCATGAAGGGTCGGACACACAACTGGACAATGACAAAGGCCATTAAGTTAAACTTGTAACTTGCTCTGTCCCTGTAGTGTGCCCCCTAGGCCACCCCACTGCTCTTCCAAATTCCTGCTTAAGACTTGATCATCAGAACATTACCACTGTTTTGGAAAGAGTGTGTCGTAGGCAGCTAGGTGGCACAGTGGACAGAGCACCGGCCCTGAAAGTCAGGAGGACCTGAGTTCAAATCCCGCCTCAGACCAAACACTTGACACTTACTAGCTGTGTGACCCTGGGCAAGTCACTTAACCCCAATTGCCTAAAAATAAATAAATAAATAAAATTAAAAAAAAAAGAAAGAGTGTGTCAGGCCACAGCTTTAGGGCTCCGTGCAGAATCCCCATGATTCTGAGTGGTAAGCTGCTTTGGGCCACTTCCCACTTGTTGAAACCCACCCTGGTTAGTCCCATTCCTCCTGTACCTCTAACCCTATCTGCTGTGCCCTTCCCCTGGAACCTCCATTCTGTTGTGGAAAAGCTATACTTCATTTTAGATCTAGGTCTTTCACCTGCCCCCCAGAAATTACCTTATACATATTTTAGATTGGCACATGATTTTCCCTCAATAGAATGTAAGCTCTTTAAGGTCAAGGACTTTTTCATAAAGTTTCTTTCATTAAGCACTACTACCTTGCCCCACAACTTTGCAGAGGCCATCATACATGCTGAGTTTGTTTTCTGATTGTGAGATCAGAAATAAGACCAATAGCAATAATAATGGTTTTTCACGGTTGGTGGCACAGAAGATAGACCTCAGGGTCTGGAGTCAGGAAGACCTGAGTTCAAATCCAGATTTAGACACTTACTAGCTGTGTGACTTTGGGCAAGTCACTTAACTTCCATCTACCTCAGTTTCCTCAAATGTGGATAATAACAGCACCTACCTCCCAAGGTTGTTGTGAAGATAAAAACAAAGTAATATTTGTAAAAGCGTTTAGCACAGTGCCTGGCACACAATAGGCACTATATATAAATGCTAGTTATTATTATTTCTCCAAATCTTTTGGAACATTTAAAGCAGTTTGCATTATTTAACTTCTACATCTTCAATTATCACTGCTTATGTACTTATAGTTTTGTTTTGTTTTTTGGCTAGGCAAAGGAGTTAAGTGACTTACCCAGGCTCACACAGCTAGTAAGTGTTAAGTGTCTGAGGCCGGATTTGAACTCAGGTCCTCCTGACTCCAGGGCCAGCACTCTATCCACTGAGCCACCTAGCTGCCCCTGTGCAGTTATGTTAATAGCTGATTCCAAGCCATAATACAGTCAACTAACTGTGTTAAGGAAGCTCAGTGACATGGAAAGAAAATGAACCTAATTCAAAGCCTATCAATTTCTTTATCAGTAGCATGAGAATAATACTGCATAATCAACCTCACAGGGTTTTTAATTTTCAGGGTCAAATGACAAAATGTAATTGAAGCACTTTATGAATGTGAAGTGTAATATATATATATATATATATATATATATATATATATATATATATAAGCTATTGTTAATATTGCTACTGGGGCAAATGGTAATTTCTCTGAAACTCTCTGTTCCTCCTTCTATTAAAAAAATTGAGATAGTTGTACCCCCATCCATATGTTACACTGTAAGGATGTTGAGAACATAAATGAGATGTGTGGGGGTAGGAGAGGAGGGTTCATTCCTTTGGGAGCAAAAGCACAATTGAATGCCAGAGCATTGTTCTGCTTGATATTATGATATAGTACAATTATGCTGGCAGACTTATACATTGCAGAGAGTGCAGGTCAAGAATGAGTCACACTTCTGAACATCGAACTCTCTGGGTCCTCTCTCAGCTTTTCTCTGCCTCGACTTTTACACATACCTTTGGACAGCCAGCAATGTTGAGTGATGTAAGCCTAAAACACTTAGCAGACAGCGCTTTCAAAATTTCTCCACAAAGCTTGGGGCAGTAAGAGACATCTAAATGTTCCAAAATTGGCATCGACTGACAGAATTCCTGTAAAACATTCCAAAGTTGGCAATCAATTTCCCTTTCATACCTGACTGTTTTCCAGTACAGAACATCATACCCTCCAACACACACATGCACACAACTATTGCCCCACTGATAATATTATTGAGATCCCCAAGATTGAAGTCATATGTTCTCAACAATACCACTAAAACCAAAAAAGCTCTCTAGTTGTAGTTATCACATCTTACATTTGTGCGATTATGTACCTCTAAAGGCGTTTATTTTTTCATTTGATTATTAACATTTTAGAAATTCTGAATTGCTATAAATGTTCACTGGTTTCAAGACCTGAATTAAAGACACTGATCAGTTCTTTTCTAACCTACAGAGTAACATCTAACACTCAATCAATAAACATTTATTAAGCTCCTACTATGTGCCAGGCACTGTAATAAGTACTAGGTTATGATAATTTTGTTCCTTCTAAATTAAGTCAGATTTCTCTAGTGACTTAAAATGAGAATTTTCCAAGTCATTTTTTCTCAAATGGAAAGAAAAATAGCAAAGTAAAATGCATGTGATATACTGGCATTTACTGATATACTATACTGTAAGCATCATTACATATTCCTGGGACTAGAAGGGTATAGGTGAAGATCACATCAGTAGAATAAGGATTCTTAACATTTTTTGTGACCCTCTTTGGGAGTCTAATGAAATCTAGGGAGATTTTCCCAAAATAATGATTTTAAATGCATAACATAAGATACATAAGATCACAAAGGAAACCAAATATATTGACTAAGTTATTAAAAAATTTTTAAAAACATTTCATTAATCCCAAGTTAAGATCCCTTAGTGTAGAACCATATACATAGAACACCAAGGTCAAGAGTTAAAACTTTTCCTTCTATAATCTAAAAGATAAGGAAAAAGGGACTTAAATGCCAATAACTAAGTACATAAGAGGAAGAGGAGCTGAATTGCCCTCTTCACCTGCAAGGGCCTAGGTCTAAGAGCTCTTGACTTGGTAATTGTTCTATAGCCAAGACTGTAAGGTTCTAATGCCATTTTGATTGGCAGTATCTTTTTTAAAATATTTTATCTTTAACACACAAAAAAGAGTATTTCCATAGACAGTATAACACAAAAAAAGAATTTTACATGAAACCATGAATATCCATTTTGTGGTGGCTATGATTTGGAAATTGAGGGGATACCCATCAATTGGAGAATGGCTGAACAAGAGATGGCATATGATTTTAATGGAATATTATTGTGTTATAATAAATGGCAAGCAGGATGATTTCAGAAAAACCTGGGAAGATTTACATTAATTAATGCAGAATGAAGTGAGCAGAACCAGGAGAACATTGCACACAGTAATGGCAATATTGTATGATGAACAACTGTGAATGACTTAGCTATTTTTAGCAATACAATGATCAAAGACAATCCCAAATAATTCATGATGAAAAATGCTATCCACCTACACAGAAAGAATTGATGGCATCTAAATACAGACTGAAGCCTACTATTTTTTTTTCCTTTCTTTCTTTCTTTCTTTCTTTCTTTCTTTCTTTCTTTCTTTCTTTCTT